GACGTGGCTGGGCGGAGGCAGGGGAGCGCAGCCTGGTCCCGTCTGCACGCAGACGGGATCTTTTCCAGGGAAATTTCCCTCGTGCCTTGAGTCTCCTGTGGGTCTGAAGTCTTGGTTTCTGTCGTCAGGCGTGTTTGTGTTGTGCCGTCCTGCAGGCCGGCTGCACGGATGCTGGACAGTTTCGTTTTTGTTGTGAGCCAATATCGAGTTTCTGTGCCACAAACTGTGGCTGTCTCAGGATGCTCGGGCTGTGACCAGTGCCTGGTCAGCAGGGGAGGGCGTTACCCCTCTGCTCAAGGGGTTCATAATTACCACGGTAGTGTTCGACCTTGTCCTCTGGTGTTGCAGTTGCAGGTGGGGTTTGTTTCCTTCCTGCAGTTCCCAGTAAGCTCAGAGCAAATTCTTGCTGGGCTGAGCTAGTAGAAGTGGATAAGCTGCTGATGACCAAACTGACTCTAAGCTATCAAAACACTGGTTTCATCATGTGCTGTGTGTACACTCCCTGCTTCCCAAGTATGGGTGCAGAGATGGGTTTGTTAATAAGAGCACTTATGCTGTGTCAAAATATGACAAAGGTTCAAAGCCTAAGTCATCTTTTCGGTGGGGAAAAACATCTGGACTAGCAGGGCAGAAACAGAGGAGCTAAAGCTCGGTCTGTTTTAATTGAGGACCTTGGGGGTCCTAATTGAGCACCTTGGGGTTTTTGACCACAGAACAGCCCTTGGGTCGTGAATTTGAGAGCACCTGAACGAGGATTTAGGGGAGAGATTCATGGATTTCTCAGTGATGCTGCTCCTGTGCCACATGCTGAGATTAAATCTTCATGATGTTGAAATGACTTATAATCAAGACTGAAAGCCTAAATGGGGAGGGGAGGGTTCTGCACCAGATCAGACCAAAGCTTAAAGAACTGATTCACATCTCTAATAGAGCTATGAATTAAGGACTGCCCCTTTACCCATCCCTTGATTATAATTGCTCAAAAATGGCTTGCTTGGGATCTTAAACCAGGTTTTGGTTTAATAGCTGTTCTTGCAAGAGGTAAGATACAATGGTGAAGAGCAGCGAAGGAGAGGGTCCAGAGGAGCCTTGTCAGGGTGCGTATCTCACGTGAATATTTGAACCGTATGGCTGAACTGTATGAGTGCTCTGCAGCGACAGTCAGCTCTGCCCACCTCTCCTGCTTGCTGAGGGTCTTCTGCTCTGCTTGTTAACTTTCCGTCCCTGGGTTGCTCAGCACAACGTTGTCCTGCATCGCTTTCCCTAGGAGGAAGGGTATGTGCACCCAGCTCTTGTTCCATGTTTTGTCTGTGTGTTGCTGTGTGCCTGTGAGAGAGGGCATGGCCAAAGGCAGGTGCTGTGCACACAGAGCAGAGGCGGTGTCACAGGGCCCTTTGCCCAGAGGGGAGGTTGTGCTGTCCTAGGCCAGGTCTCGAGAAGGGCCCTGAACATGTGCATGTCAGAGCAATTGACCTCAGTTTCCATCCTGCATCTTTGATTGCTGTCAGGTTTAGTCCCCAGCGGAGTTCCTTCTGCTGCTTCCCTTGGAAGGATGGAAGGAGCGTGTAGCTGGGGCCCGGTCGCTGCCAGTCAAGGCATCGTCTCTCTGGGCGATGGTGGCGACAGCGTTACCAGCAGCTGCTGCAATGGGAGTTGGATGCTGGGATGGACCCTGCAGCGCTCCTGAGCTGCAATTAGGAACAGCCAGTTGTGGCATGTAGATTTTTCCAAAGAACTCTGCGTTGAGGCTGCAAGATCACCTGCAGCTTCCCTCTGTCCTGCGGTGTCACCCTCTTTTCACATCTCTGCATTGCTACTTCATTTTTCTACCTCCAGGGCTGGCTTTGAAAACGCTCCGGAGGAGCAGAGCCAAGTTCTCTTAATAAACAGCCTTTTTGAAATTTGCTCTTGTGTTTGCCTGGAGTAATTAGCTTTTTTATTCTAGAAGAACAGTTTTCTTGTGAGCCTGTTGATGGTTGTGTGGAACTTGGGGCAGTGAGATTCCTTGTTTTATTGCAGCCGCACAGTGCTGCTGTTTTGAAGCATTGTTGATGGTGTCTGAGTCAAGAGTTCATGACACTCTTCTGGGTGATAAATCTGTTAATATGAACTGTGCAATACTATGGGTAACTAAGCTTCATTCTGCTTGGCTAGTGTGGCAGAGGGTGAGAAGTGCCACAGTATTTTTGAGGGGCCCCTGTGGTGACCCCCCTCTGTACACGCTGCCTCTGGGAATCATTGCTTCTTGTGAAGCTTGTTGTGAAGCCCCTGAAAGCTGGGGTATAGGTAAGATGTGTTCTCAGGCATGTTGCAGAAACAAGCAAGTCCATCGGGGCAGTTCTAGGATTGCCTTCCAGGACAAGCAGTCTCTGATGAAGTGAGAGGAGCTAGAGTAAGGCTATTCACGCATGCAGTAGCTCTCCCAAGCTGCTGGTGGTACTACACACCCCAGAGCGGGAGTTGTTGGGTTTCAGTCCTGGCTCCTGTGATCTACCCTTGCAGTGGAGCTAAAGGAAGATGAACTTTAGCTCTCAGGCTACTTTTAGCAACTTCATTTTGAGCTCTGTATAGCTTGTTTACCTCAGTGCTTGCATCATGCCATACTCGGCCCTGGTAGTGTCAGTTGTTCTTTGGCTCTGTTCCAGAGATGAAAGGAGAGGCTAACCACAGAGATAGACAAGCCAAGTGGAATCGGAAAGGTTCAACCCTCAGATCTTTAAATCTAGTCAAGGGAGGGTTCTTGGCGGCAGTGCTGGGCTAGAGAGAGAATCCAAGCAAAGTTTTGGGGCTATCTAGATGAAAGTTTTCATAATGCTGGCGACTTTGACAGTAACGGGTGTCAAAGGGGCCCTTTTCCCCTAGGATAATTGGTGCTTCAGGCCTGCTGGCTACTTTCTGCTGATGCTGGGAGGAGCTGGAGCTAGATCCTGCACTAAAGGAAAAAACTTCTCCTCTCCAGCCCTTCAGGAGAGAGAAGAGGCCTTGAATTACCTCCTGGCTGGTTTAACGCTCCTAGCCATTCCTTTGCCTTTTCAGTTGATGGTGGGTTGGCCTCTGTCATACTGCACCTTCCCCGGGGCTGCTTGAGCTCATGTCGCCCACTGCAGCAAAGCTGTCTCAGTTGGCTCGAGCCCACGTTTTAGCGGAGCATGTCTTGAGGCTGTTGTTCTTGGCCTTGTCTTCTTGCAGCAGCGTGTGGAAGTTTTGCCAGGTCAGGCTGCTGGTGAGCTGGGGGGCTGTAAAAACTGAGCGCGATCCGCTGCTTGCGTTCAGAGATGCGCTGAGGTGGGAAGCGAGAACGGAACGAAACCGAGCCAGCGGGGCGCAGGGGTGGCTGACGGAGACGGCGTGTCTGGCTGCGGGTGCGGGTCCCAGCTCGCTGGCGGCCGTTGAGCAGGGCGGACCCGTGTGTGCGTGCGTCTGCGTGTGCTTGCGCCTGTGGGCTGCTGTGACTTCCCTCACTTCCTCAGCTGCCAGCCTTGTGAAGTTGTTTATGGAGGAATGAGGCCGAGCAGCCCGTGTTTCGGTGCGTGCGAGTTCTGTTTTTAAGGGATTGGTACGACAGAGAATGCTTCTCTGGGGCCCGTGACGGGGAGACCGTTTCCTGGAGCCAGCGAGCATGCGCTGTGGTGTGGAAACCTCGGAGGGTTTTGCGCTTGAACAGAAGCCCGGATTTGCTTGGTGGCTTGTCCAGTAGCTATTTGTAGAAGTGAGAAGTGGCTGATTCTAGTTCAAACGCCACTGTCGTACTGTAGCATGGGAACTTTTGTTTTTGGCCTTTCCGTGCTCTGCAGATTTGGGCTGAAATATTGCTCAGAAATACCCAGGCTCTGACCTTCTTTATGGAAGGTCTGCTTGGGTCAAGGACCTCAATTAAGTGAAGTCTGGTTTGTTTGCTGCCACCTAGTAGGGAAATTTTTTTTTGAAAGTCCATCTGTGAGCCGCTTTGCGCAGTGTGCGGTGGTGTCCTAGAATGAGTCCAGGGCTGATGTTCGGGCTGCCCTGGGGCGGCTATTCCAGGAAGCAGGTCTCTGCTTTGCTTTCTGTTTTGATCACTGCAGCAGCTGCCCAGCAGCACCTGTTCTCAGCTCCTTGCGAAGAGCTCAGGAGGTTTCTCTAGGAGGAGATGGGCTGGGAGAGCAGCTGCAATTTCCTGACGGGATGATTAAGCTTTTGATCTGTGCGTACCGGGGTGCTCTCAGCAGTGGTGCAATGGGAAATGAGATGGCTGAGCTCACCGGCCAGCCAGGGAGAAGGAGCTCAACCTGGTGATTTGTAGTTTTTCAGCTCCCACCTGGCCTGTGTATTTTGGGTTTCTTTCCATGGAAAGCTGTGCCCTGTGGAGGAGCTGGAGTGCTTGCCTGGAGCTAGGAAGCACCGCATGGTAACAGCCTCTAATGCTGAGGGAAAAGGGCTGTGAGTGCACAGCAGCCACCGGTTTGAAGGCAGTGCTCAGCGCTGAGCTGAGCCTGGCAGCTGCAGTCCCTGGCAAAGAGATGAATCTGCGTCAGACCAGGGAATTGGGATGCCCAGTGAGCAGCCATGAACTGCAGCTAAGGGACTCGTGGTCAGCACATACAGGAAGCTAAAGTTCTGGGCTCACAAAAGCCCTGTCAAGTAAAGCCAAGTTTTACTCTGAGATTCAAGGAATGTCTGTCCCTTTACAGACTCCTATGTGGGTTGGTTTCTTTCTTCTCATCCCTTCCACTATTATTCCATTAAAACCAGATTTTGTTCACCTGGTCTTCTCTGAAGATCGTACCTGAGGATTGTTCTTGAAGGTTAATGTCCTGTGGCTGTTGCTTCTGTCATCTGGGGCTATATGATGCAACAAAGTTCAGAAAAACTATTTAACTCTGTGTTAAGTGCCAGTGTCATTCCTTTCGCTGTGTCTCAATCTATGACAGGACGCTTCCCCTTTCTTTCCCCTTACAAACAGCATCCTGAAGGATTGGGGAAGAGAGCCATGTGCAACAAACATCAGAACAGAGTACAGTGGTGCGGGAAGTGTCAGATGGCAGTAACCTGAGGCAGTCTGTGCATTTAATAATCTTGGAAAACCTACTAGTTAAAATCAGCTCTTCATGCTGTGCAGTGACTCTTGGAGTAAGCAGGGATTTGCAGTGCGGAGGCTGGTAAAGAAGCTGTGGGTGGGCGGCTCCCAGCTGGGGCAACGTGCCTGTGGGCAGCTCTTTTGCTGCTAGAAGCTCGGGCAAACACAGCTTTGTGTGCCTGGGAGGCCTGGGGCAGTGCTTGGGGCAAGACTTAAAACTGGTGCTGTGCTCTGGCTGCATGCGGTAGCAGTGTGGGACTAGAGAAAGACGGTGTTGTCCTCCTTCGCAGGCATTTGTCCAGGGGCTGTTTTCTGGGGATGCTTCACAGCCACAGCTCAGCTCTGGTGTTGGTATTTATCATGCACCGTGCTCACTGGTGAGGAAGAGGGACCAGGAGAGGTGAAATTGTCTTTGCCAAAGACACATATGAGACTTGTGAAGGGTGAAAGTTTTCCTGGTAGCTGCATTTTCTAATCCTACTTTTTGAATGCCTGTGGTTGGTTGAGAGTCTGCAGCAGTCCTTACAGCCAGGACCAGGGTATTAGCAAGCTCCCAGATGCCATTGTGTGCTGGGGAAGAAGCTCTGCTGGCTCTTGAGGCTTCAACTTTGTTAACTCCTCTCTGTCTTATGGTAACCTGTTTGGCTCTTGCAGAAAGCAGTGACTGTAGAAGCTGTTCTTGCTGTGGCCCTGGCATCTGGTTGTTCTGTGTTCACCTGTTTCCAGCCATCCTGGAGTCCAGGGTTGGAACAGCCTGACTCGCTGCGAGGGATAAAGCTGGTCTCAAGAGGGTGGTGTGAGCTCCCTGCCATCTCTGACTCTGTGAGTGTGAAATGCGCAGGCTCTGTCATGTTCCCTGGGATGTCAGGTGCTGCTCTTTACCTCTGCTAGCACCCCTCCAGGTGCCAGCTGGCTTCCCAAACTTTTGCTTGTCATTTAAGCGTTGGCTCCGATTTCCTTTGCGCTGGCTCCTCTGCACCCTTTGCTCTTGCAGAAGCTCCAGCAGGTTCCTGTGTTGTTGGTGCTGCCCCGGGACTGGAGCACCTGAGAGGGAGCTTTGCTCTGACTTGCTCCAGCTCTGCTGGCTTCATGCCGAATACAGGACACTCCTGGGACTACCATCTTCACTGGGCTCTGCTTGGTGGCCGCCTGTTCTCTGAGAGGCCGGTGGCATTGCCAGCCTGGTGCTCCGCTTGCAGCTGGCCTGCTGGGGCACAGGCTGCCGAGCCGTTTCCAAACCCAAGCTGACGTGTCACTTGCTGGAATGACCTTTACAGAAAAGCAAATATCTTTCTGCGGGGAAGCGACTCTTTCTGTTGGTGTTTGGTAGGGCTCAATGCCTTTGCTTCCTGAGCTCAGCTTGCTGTCCCCTCATTAGTTTTAGTTTGATTTCCATTGATACAGAAGTAGCTGGCTTGAAAGTTACTCCTTCCTTGTTTCTGTTGTTTCCTGGCAGTCTCCGCCTTCTGCACTTACTGTAAGCTCTGCAGCTCCTTCCCTGCCCTCCTAGAGCAGACACAGGCATTTGCACAGTCTGGCTGGAGGGCATGTGTGTGGATGAAATTGGCACTAGATTCAAGTCTTGTACCTGTCTGTAGCGATATAGGGGGTGTAAGACCCCTTCCTCTTTCCCCCAGCAAGAAGGTAGAAAAGCTTTGGGAAACGATGCCTCTCTTGGGAGACAGAAGAGTTGTACTGAAGCTGGCCTTTTGGGAAATGTGCTTTTGTGCACTCAAATGATGCTAAAGCCAAACAGATGAAAGTTCAACTTCTAAATCTAGCCTGTGAGCTTCCTTCCCTGTGCTCTGTGAGCTGCATGCTGCCCAGCACTGGGAGCTTGGCAGCTGATGCAAGAGGTCTGATGGCATTAGTTGTTGTGTATGAAATGTGTGTTTGTTTGTTTGTTTGTTTTTTTTTTACCCTGGCCTGACCCTGCAGTGTAAGGAGATGTATGGAAGCTGTGGGACGGGGCAGGAGGTGGGTCTGCAAGCAAACCTAAGCAAGGCCTGTGTACCTGTTTGAATCATGGGATCTCTGTCTCAGTGTATGAGTGCCCTCAACTACCTCTGTCCTGTTGGGGCTGGGGTTCGGCCCTGCAGGTTTACGGCTCCCAAAGTCTTCTGGGTTTTTCATGTTGCTGAAATCCTCCACGGGGATGGGAGAGGATAAAGTTCAGCTTGGCAGCTAGATCCTGTTTTTGCTGCTCTGCCTATAATCTGTTGCAAATGGCCGCAGGCTACTGCTGCCAGCGCGAGGTCCGCTCTTGGGGG